CCCACGTACCGGCCTTCATGACCCCTTCGTACGACTTCTGGCCCGTGCGGCGGCTGGCAGAGACCATGGCAAAGAGAGAGAAGTCAGTGGCAACACAGATCAGCGCTAGGACCAATATGCCTACCACACTCCCCGCCTTGGCGAAGGAGTAGGCCAGCGAAAGCGTCCCCCCCCCCACCACTGGTGCGAGAGGGAGAAGACAATGTGGGGAGGCGGCAAGCCGTGTGGAGGGGTTGTGTGCAGGGAAAGGAAGAAAATCAGTGCCGTAGAGAGGCAGGTGGGGATACAGAAACTTCAACCACCCCTCAATCGTACATGGTCGCATGCTTTGATCGCCCTTCAAAAGGATGTTGGACGCTACTCTTTGCCCGTCCGCTTCTTACCAAAAACGCTCACGCAGCGGAAGCTTCGATAGGATCTACCCTGTCCATAAGCGACATACCTGTGTTCACCAATGAGAAGACCGCCGGCCGCAGCTGGGTTGTGCGCCAGCGCGAGTGAAAATCCAAGCCGTCAATGCCATGGAGCTGGCGGCAGGAACCCGCGCCTGCCGCTCCATCCTGATGCTCCTGACTCCCGCGTGACAAAGCAGTGTCCTGCAAGCTGCAATAGTCCATGTTGTTGTAGAACAAAGCACCGCTTTCGCGATTGTTGCTACCGCTGTTGCTGTCGGTGCCGTGGCTGCGTGAAAAGCCCTGCATACTTGTAGGACGTGTACACAAGTTGAGGAAGGCAAATTACGGGAAGTGCGGCATTAAACGCACGACGCGACCAGTGTTCCCTTTCACCCGACAGGATGACTATTCAGACGGGCAAGTCAAGAGCACGTAGCGGTCAAAAGCGAACACAAAGGCGCAATGCGTGAGGACTGAAGTTACACAAGGGCGTGCTTTTCATCGAGCTGCAGGCGGCAGCCTCCCTTGCAGCGATGCATTTCGGCGGGGTGGGGCCATAATCCCTTATTGCCTCCCCACATGTTGTGAAATTTCCGACTTATTGCGAGGCCTAGGCATCACAAACATGGCATGTTGACGTACTGGCCTTCGCGGCAGCCTAGAAGATACAAAGCCTGCAAGCTGATAGACGACTGACCGGAAAGTGACGCCAGCTACCACCACCTCATCGCAACACACATTGCATTCACTTCAGGTTCTTGCAATATCGAAAAAGGGAGCAGGGCGGTAGCGGAATGTTCTACACGATTATCAAGCGGATCCCAGGCAGCCAGGGCACCAAGGTAAGTGTCGTTTATTCGCATGTGTCCGAGCAGACTGGCAGCATAGACCTCCCCCTCGTCAGACGATTACAGCAACGATTGTCTACCCTTTTTGAAGGACAACAGTTATTTGAACCCATTCTTACCTTTTCTTCCTCTCACGTTGCTGCACAAGGTCTTCGTCGGCACAACACTCATGCTTACAGTGGGCTGTTTACCGTTCTGGATCAAGCGATGTACGTGAGCGGAAAAGCATCCTCCAACTTGTCCGTGTTCTCTTTCCGTTCTCTTTGATAATATTTCCTTCTTCTGGAACACCACGCAACTTTGGAACATTTTATGTTGGTGTGAGAGTAGGCATGGTCTCTTTCTCAATTTTCAAGTGACAGGTTTCAGCTGCTGGCTTAGAGTTCTTTCAGAAGAAAGAGAAAAGGAATTCGTCTACTGTGTACTCGATATTTCTAGAGCCCTAACCCCACTCTATTTTGCACACCCTCCAGTCAAAAATTCAGAGAGCAGGGCGGGTCATGATCTTTTCTCTTCAGAAAAACCTGAAGCGATCGAGCGTATGGAGGAAGAAAGGAAGGAGAAAATTCTTACAAAGGTTGCGTGAGAGGACGTATCGCAAATTGCATGAACTTAAAAGAAAATTTGTTTCGTTGTATTGTTTCCACAAACTGGAACGTTGTCGGTGTCCCAACTTTTCGTTGTAGTGTTGGTAGGAACACCAAAAGAATATCTTTCGCAACAACGCATTTTGGGCAGGAACGAGGCCGAGTGCCATTTGCTGAATGCATATGGTATATAGAGATCATGATGCGCCACAAAAAATATGAAAATTAATGCGTAGCCTGCCTCAGAATTTTCGTGTGGTAGTGTGCTTCCCGTGTTGATCTGGGCGCATCAAAGTTTAGCTTGCCGGGTCCTCGTGTGCGTTACCTCCTAGTTTGTGGAACATAAAGCCTGCAGCTTGAAAGTTTTCTGGCATATATTTCAATAATGGACTTGAGGCTCAATGAATACGTCTGTCTCGACGGTGGACTCAGGAAAATGCAACTTTACATCGGAGCGTCGCTGTCCAGCGTTTCCAGCAGGATAAAATTTCCTTCTCTAAGAATTTCCTTACTTAATCCAATCGTCGGATCAGATATAAGTCAAAGTAAGCGAGCAAAGGTCTGAAATACATTCTTATGGATTCCCTCAGCGTAGAGGGAGATTATTGCAGCAGTTAGAGACAAAGAAAAAAAACAAAAAACCGTTACACCGGCGATACAGAGCGATGCGTCCTGTTGGATGAAATGGTTGGTGATTCTTGTGTCACACGTCCCTCGTTTCGTAAATAGTGTGCACTCTATCATATATCGAACGAGTTTTCTTGGATTTTGTGAAAGAATGGAGGGGGGGGGTTCAGATGCCAACTCTAATTCATTTCCCTGCCTTCATCCCCTACAAGTGGTTCATGACAGAGCGCCAAGACTCTATCGTGGATCCAACTAAATCGACTTGCTTCACATGTCGCTTGTGCCGGTCAGCTCTCTTTAGCGACAAAGATTTGGAGCCCCACGCTACCGGGGCACAGCGAATCAATCGTCGCAAAGTGCGTATAACCTCCTACCTTCGCCTCTTTTCACTGTGCCACGCTTTCCTTTCTTATAAGGCGTTTTACTTGGTTTATGAAGCAGGTTGGAAGAAGCGTGGATGACTCTGCAGCACACATTCAGGCGTGCACGTCCTACTTCTTAAATGAAGCCGCGATGGAATCTTTGGAGTGGGTGCGCGCGGCCTTACAGGCGCATGACGAGGCAATTGCCTCTAATTCGGCCGTTCAAACAAGCAGCGAAAGTATCGAGGGAAAACTTGTATGCCCCAATGCAAGATGTGCTGCTCGATTAGGGAGCTTCAATTGGAGCGGTACACAGTGCTCGTGCGGCTCGTGGGTGGTACCAGCCGTTCAGGTGGTCGGAAGCAAAGTGGATCGGAAGGGGACTGAAGAAACCGAAGGGTTGATGGTAGTGGATTTCGGTGCACAGGTACGTAAAAATCTGGAAGTGCCCCAGCAGCAGGAAAATTGCGCAGAGAAAGACAAGACAAGAGAAGGAAGCGAAGAAGCGACACGGTCATGACCCAGCACCAAGAGTTTGGAACCTCGTGCTCAGACACGTCGTGGACAGACCAGCCGTGATAGTTTGCACACCCTTTTGTACATCCCTTTGATAAGTTTCGATTCACATGCTTTTTAAGAAATGAAGGACCAGAAGGCAAAATTCCCCTTCCAAGCATCGGGCTTGCACTTCCCACATGTTTGCCCTGCCCTGCAGTTGCAATTTTGTTCCTCGTATACTGTGCTTGTCCATATGTCTTCTACAGAGATGCCCTTCTCCGTTTCAACAGCCGCGGGATTACGCGGCTGACGGATGTTTGGGATCAGGCAGGCATGGAGATACAGCTCGAGTATCTCCCCGTGCAGCGCCCTCTACTTCATCATCTTTGCCACCTGGACAATCAAATCGCAATCACACGCTTGAAACCATGGAAATACATGTTTATTATTTTCTTCATCGTCTACCCCTCATTTATCTCCCGCCCATCTCCTGTCCTCGACCTCGGGCTTCCACCACGTCCGCATTTTGATCAGCAACTTGCCGGAGAATTCATCCCTACTCAGCCAGAGTCACACAAGGAAAAAGAAACATCCAGATACAACAATCGGTGCGGTTCAAATCCTCTGCTCCAGAAGCTCACCCCGCACGACACATTCAGCAAATCGAGCCAGAATATCCTTTCCCCCCCCTCCTCCCTCCCTTCTCTCCTCCCTCCATCCCTCCTTCCCACCCCCCAACCGTTTACAGCAAGATGTCCACCAGCTTGTTTTGAATCGTCTCAAACGACATGAAAATAATGCCTTGTCCAGGGACCACCCTACCTAGACGGGGAATCAGCCCCTTTAAGAAGACACCAGCCCCCTCGTGCCGCATCAATTGCTGGGCGCAATCAAGTGCGTTTTTATACTTTGCGGCGTCCAATCCCTGCATCCGGGTTTTAATCACGTCTGCGTCAAAGAAGGGAAAAAAGAAGAACCAGCGTCATGGTAAGGACGGAGAGGCGCCTAGGAGGAGGAGGAAAAGAGGAGGGCAGGGAGAGGAGAACTGGACGGCCGACTTACCGAGAGGATTATTGCACAGGGTTGAAAAGCAGCCGGCAGACATTCCACCGAGAAAGGAGGTGAGAGGAGTCAGGTTGTGCTGGCCATTGTTGGTGACCCAGTTCTTGTACTCGTTGAAAAACATAAAACGCAGGCCCTGGTTCGATCCTTGCTTCATAATCGTCGCTCCCAAACCCTGCGGGGCAGAGAAAGGGATCATTGAGGGTCGTTCGAAATCGCATTTTGGGAATGTTCCACGTGTACTCTCCTTCTCCCCAACCCGACCTCGCTCTCTTTGATTGCCGTCGTACCTGGTAGACACCCGCCATCCCTTCATGGGCCACGATATGCTTGACGCCTCCAAAGAAGCTCATGTTCAGGTGGATCAGCTTCGTTTTCACCGTCTCCACGGGCGTCACCACGAATATACTTTCGATGATGCCTGATGTAATCACACAAGACCAGGGTAGGGATGAGAAGGAGGGGCATCGAGTAGGCTAATCTGTTCACATCTATTCGCCCAGAGTGTCCTCCCTGTCACACTCATTTCCCAACGTCCTCTCGTCCCTCTCCTCGAACGTACCTGCACCCACACCAGCCAAAAAATTCTTGCCCGGGGTCAGCTTTCCCTGGTCGTCCATCAATTGCTTCTTGAAATAGGCGTTGGAGCCGAAGCGAATGCCCGCCTTGGGGAAGGCGCTGATCAATGTTGGGGTCAGACCTCTGTAGAGGGCCAGGAAACCGTGGTTTTGAACGGTATATCGCATGCCTGTTGCATGGGGATTAAAGAGGGAATCGAATGCAAACCAGGTTTCCCCCATTACTATTACAAATTCATTCATGCGCCACAGGCCCCATCACTGAGTCTCATTTTCCAAAGAATCTCGCGTCTTATCCTCTATCCCGCAGGAATTAATTTGGTCTCTTTTTTGAATAACAAATGGTGCTGTTCACCTAACATGATCACGCCATATTTACCTGATATCATCCCCGTGAATTTAGGCTTTTCCCCGGCTGGCAACCTCTCCTGAAGCTGCAGCTGCGTTTTTATGTACTCCATCGGCCAGACACAGGTAGCCTCCATACCTGTCGATCATAGTATAGCATCGCAAAAAATGAGAGGAGGTTGCATGACCGACGCGGGGAAAAGCGCGTGCGCAACAGCATGTGTAACTAAAAAATACTATTGCTCTTCCCTTTTTTACTCCTAACACCTTTTCTTGGCCATGATTTCACAACCATGAGACTTACCACCTGCAATAGCTCCTGCCAAAAGAGATATGACTTGAGTAGGCTTTTTCTTCGAGGGGGATATTGCGGACGTGGAGATTGGCACGGGCACGAGGGGGACAGCGGCTGTTGTTGCGTCGGCCGTACTCGACATCCTGCGAAAATGTATGAAACTTTGAGGAGTGCGCCGGCGTAAGAAAAGGTAGATTTCGAGAAAGTCCATGTTTCTATTTCACGACGCAACGCGGTAAAATCGAACGAAAAATGAAAGCCAATAAGTCCTTCTTGGAACGCATACTACCGATCGAGAACACCGAATTGAGAGGTCGCAACGCGACACGCACGCAGGGTTGTCCGGCCCACCCCTTTAATTTCCACAGAGAGAGCTCAATCATCTTGACCGGAGAGAGATTGAACCGTATGCCACATGATCGGTACGTCAATGTACCTGTTTGCTCATTCTTGACGGGATTTCTTGCGCACCAAAGCTCTTCGAGTCATACTGGGGCGCGCCGATTGCGTTAAAAGCGATAGACGGAATCTCGATTCCTGAAAAGGATCACGAGTAAAAGTTGTCTGTTCCAAAAACACCAAAGCCGTAGCCACTTTCCATTCAATCACATTTCAAAGATCTGGTGTGCAACCACTTTGTAGGCGCACCTGCTGATCAAAGCATGTCATGAGCGGCTTTCTTCCCCTCGGTATTTTTTGTGACTGTAAGACCGCAATCGGAGAAGTAGTTCCGATCTTCACGATCTACGCGGACCATTCTTTTCTTTCCTCCTTCCCTTCTCTGTTTATTAATTGTAACGAAGAGGCCAGGATGTGGCCATCAGTTGGACTTCATGCTTTTTATTGTACCAGTGTCCCTTATATGTCGCGAAATACGGGATTTCCTTTTGTAAAGGCTGAATATGCAAAATCTGAAGGAAAAGCGAGAAGATGTGTACGATTAAGTACGATTTTACGGATATGATTCTAGTACTGGTAAGAATATGGTTAAATTCATTTCTTCAGACGTAGCACAGACCCTTGCTTCCCGATCGAACTAACTTTGTCACATCAGTATGAGCCACCATTCTCAGTTACTGAGAACCCCATGCAGTCAAAAGAGTGTATTTCGATAATCGACTCATACTTCTTCCTCAACGTCTCGAACGAGATTTTCCCGAGCTGATCTCTCATTGCAGGTCATTGTCGTCCACTTTTTCTTCTTTGTCGAGGTTTCCTGATCGCTTAGCCGAGTAATCTTGTCAATTCAAGTAGTGGGAAGTCTCGGGTATAATCCCCTCCAGATAGGAGGAAAACAAGTGGTCATACAACATATGTAGCCAGCAAACAATATGAGAACTCGGAAAAGTGAGGGAGAGAGATTATCAATGCGTCTAAACATTATCGTAAACGGACATATTTTTCTTAAGTTATAAGATGATGCAATAGACTGTTATTTGGGAGCGCATAAATGAGACGCGCACCACACTACCTCGATCTCTTGAACAATGTATTAACAATGATAGCATTGTGAGGGAGGGTTAGGGACTCGGTAAGCGCAGTACAAGGCATTCGTAGTTGAGATCATTCGTTGTAGCGACTATCGATACAGATATGGAATCGAATCGAAAGGTAATTTCTCCGTACGGCTAAATTGAAGACGGTCATACATGACTATACATGGTGTAAAAACACAAGTACGGGCCGAGTTACAAAACTTCGAGGGTGTCAGAATGCAAAGTTTGCAGTACATGTTCGGAGGCCCCGCTACTACTGGCAGGTAAAAAAAAAGGTGCTTCGCGCCAGAATGCTTTCGGTGACACAAGGCTTGTAAAATAAGATAGCACATGATAGTAAATACAAACATATACGATTTATGTACAGTGCACTCAATTTTACAAAACCAATATAGTTTGCGTTCAATACAAGACGCCTAGGATACCTCCCATTGAATATTTTGGCGCGAAGCATTTTTCATCAAGAATCGCCCTTCGCACTCGTTCGGCCCTCCGTCGGCCAGCATGAGATAGCATCGCGATGCTGTCACATACGATTGATGCATCGCAAGGCTGTGGCAAACACCGCCACGATTCGCTTTCTGGACATTGAGCCTTGTCTGGTGATGAGATTGGCCATTGTTGCTCTTGTCATGGCGCCATCGTTGATTGGATTCAAACCTGAGTAGTATCCTAACGTTCATTTTTCTGCGGTTCATAGACTGCTGCAGTTGCAGCTCAAGCCCATGGGTTTTCGTGTTTGATAGAATTGCAATCGACATCAAATGAATGCGAATATTATAGTGTTGGTCTAGTAGCGAATTTACTCTCCCAATACTCATCAAGCTTTTCCATCTGCAACACGAAACACTCTGCCTCAACTTACCTTGCGGGTAGCTGCAAGACGGACGACGTGCAGCGTGAACCCTTGCCATTGAAGCGAGAAACTGGTGAAGTCGAATATCATGCCTTTTATCACACGAAGAGCGGCATTGCAAGCCGCTGCTATGGCCTTTCTTTCAGGAAGCTGCGTCGAGGGATGGCTTGTCGGGTCCGGGGTGAAGGCTACAGGGAAGTTGACAATGAGGAAGATTGAAACAAGCTTGGCTGCTGCCACGATAGAAGCACCCAAAACGACGGCAGAAGGAATTGGCGCT